CAACCTGGTCTAGTGGAAGGTGTCCCTGCCCATGGCAGGGGGGGTGGAACTACATGATTTTTAAGGTCCCTTCCAACCCAAACCATTCTGTGATTCTATGATACACTGGTTTATCAGTAAGTATAGATGAGGTCACTCTCTAAATTCTCAGTTTCCTTACAGACCTTAAACATTGCAATTTTAAATGTATTTTTTAAATCTTCTGATGATAAAGTCATTATTAGAAGTGGAACGTATGTTTCCATTGCCTTGAAAAGTGCTCTGGGTCTACTGGAGTGCACACATTCACTAAACTATTCCCTGGCTAGTCTGTCATATATTCCTGAAGCACCATTTCCCAGTTAGCCAGATAAACATTTCTCGGACAGGGAAATGAAACTGGTATCAGGCAAGAGGACTACCCAAAGGGCTAACTGGAACACAGGCTTACACAAGCAGGCAGCTTTCTACTTTTCAAGTTACAACCACTTGGGGGTTTCTTCTCTGGGTAGTTTACTACAACTGTAGATAAGAAGGGCGATCAGTCTCAAAAAAAGGTTTGCAGAAGTTTAAGAACTGATGAATTCATGTGTCTTAACAGACCATCTAGAGAGATCTGAGACAGCAAGAATATGGTAATTAGAAGACCAGCATTTGAAATCTTAACCCTTAAATAGTTTTATTTGCATTTACAGTTAAACCCTAGGGTATTACTGTTTACCTCTACATCTATAAATACTACCCAATACCACCCACAAAAATATGGCTGTATTTTTAAGAATGAACACAAGACTAATCAAGCCATGGTTCAGGACCCACCCATGCCACAGACTATGGAAGAAAGGATGGCGTCTGAAGAAACTATCACCCTGTAATTGTTGTTACTTCCCCTACCTTCCCTCTATGTATCTGCTACTGGCCAGCCACATCCAAGAAATGAGCCTGAAGAGACTCAGATGTGATTCCATGTAGGAATTCTTAATGCTGGATATAGCTTATGACCAAGTAGGGTTCCAGATTTGTTACATTCTGATCATTATCAAAATTTCATTGAGACTTAAGTGTGCCCTTAAATGTGCAATTTCACAGATTTCTATATGTTTCTTCTCCAGACTGAAAATCAAAAGATAACCTGAATCTCTTGAGAAAGCTTGGCCTCCCTTTCACAGTGTGCTTCTAGCCAATAAAGTCCCAGCAGTGGTCACAAAAGGGTCTTATATACAATACTATTTATCTGCTGCTGAAAAATTAATTTTAAAAAAATATTTTGTGAATGTGCTGGAATGAAGAAATCGATCTTCAAACTCTGATCTAAAATCCTCATCAGAAATTGGACATAATAAGGAAGACTGATTTGATTTTTCAGATCAATTAGGAGAGCTGTTTGCATATGTTGAAGGAAGCTCCAGGTAAGCTGACTATCCAAAACCACCAGTTTCCATCACGAAATACATATCTGATGGTGTGAGGTGGACAAGAAAGGGAATATGAAGCACTGTATCTCTACATACTAGTGCGCAAGGGCATGAGTGATACTCAGTTGTTCTTTCTGCTATTCCAAGAATAATTCCTAGGCTGTAGTTCCCATATAAATAACTGGTGCTGCTGGTTTTGTTTTTACATCTTTCAGCTCAGAAATACACAACTAAAGAACAACCACGAACGAACCGCGTCAGAGAATGTAACAATTTCTTAAGGCAAGCAAACCCACTAGCTTTGGGGCAAAAAGCAGAACTGGAGCTAAGACAACAAAGGCCTACGATGAGTCACTGAAACTACTTGAGTCGGTAATAAAAAATAAACAGTAGTCAGTAAGAAAGTTAAGCCTCTAAGGACACAAAAGAAAAGCCAATAGTGAAACAGAAGCTTAAATAGCCCTTTCGTAGAACGGGATGCTAAAACTCTAGAAAGTAAAATGCAGTTATGGAAGAAAAGAAACATACTGAGAAGATGTGCAGAAGATTCGTTTTCACCTAAGCACAACAGGTAAATGTTGAATGGAGGAAACAGATGCTGCACTCCTGGGTGACTAATGGAAACAAAAGTATCTCTCCATCATCTCTCGTATACAGGATGAAAGCTCCGCAAGTATCACTTACTTATTCTAACATACGGGTATGTCACTGAACATGAGCTTGGTAAGACTTTTCAACCAGGATATTACTGTGCAGTATCTCACATACAATAGACCTCTCCTACCACACACTACGGCTACGAACTTAAACCCAGATTCCATTTGCAATCTAAAGCACAGCTCCAGTCCACAATGCCAAACTACCAGTCACAGTTAGCCTAGAAGAGGAGAAAAGATGCTGACAGAGAGTTCAATCTTGCTGTCTAAATTATGAGCAGTCTGATGATTGATTCACACTTTGTTTTTTCCAAATTCAGCTCTTCAAAATGCTGGCTAGCATTCACCAATGTATTGGTTCCTTAGCTACTTGTACAAATATCCAAGCTCTTTAGAGATAATTTATGTTCAGAAACCCCCATTCTCATAAGAACTACCAAAACAGATTGGTTATGTTTAATTTCATGTTTCTGAGGAACCAGGGGAAATCTTGGGAAAAGCATCAAGAGAAGTCAAAGAAACCAAAAGAGCTCTTTCATTGAAATTCAGATTCAAGTTTTATGATGTAAGCAAAATTGTTTTTTTAAAAAAAAAACCCACTTTTAAAAAAATAAATGGATCAGTAAACTGTCTGGAGGCAGAGAGTAAATCAGACTGCTGAAGACAACTGGCACCACTGAATTTTCTTTATTGGAACATAGGCTGTCCGAAAAGATTATTTCAGTAAGTTTTATTACAGCAGGGTTTATACATTAAGAGAGTGTTTAGATTCTCGGTTTTCTTACGTTGGAAACCCTTCTTACCACTAACAATGTATTTAAAAAATTTCATAGCTTTCATTTGGTTTAGAAATGATTTAACAACTACTTGAAATAAAAACATGGCATTTCAATACATACAGCTTTAAAGGGCGAGCTACATTTCAGAAAGACAATCATCTAACTTAATTGGCAAGCAGGTACTCGGAGCCTGTCCAGCTAAATCCAGTCATTTAGGGAGATTCAAAGTTCTTCAAGATGACAAATGAAAATATTTATCAACCAAAGCAGATACAGATTTATAAAAATCTATTTAATTCAAAAAATACCTAAATATTAATTTTTGCTTATAATATTTCTCCTCTTGCTTTTTTCTCCCCAACATACTAGTTAGTGGTGACTATCTCACCAAGATTAATAGTATTTTTCCATGGCACTCAGGAAGAATAATGTGAAATGTCAGTCTTACCTCCTGCAACTTGCTCTGAATCCACTGGCCAACAACTGCCAAGCTATCACGAGGACAGATGGCCCAAATCATAGTGAGAAAGATGAGTGACAGAAAATCCAAGAAGTGAACCAGGCTGGCTCTCTCCGCCTGCAACAGAAATTGTCCCATTTTCATTCCTTACTGTCTGGTATTTCTTCAGAACATAATGGAATTTGGAAACACTTTAAAAATCACTATTTTCTTTTTTCATGCAACCACAGGAACCAGGCAAGCACAAGCACCCCTCCATGCACAAAAAGACCCAGCTGTACACAGGTACTTTCAGTCTAGAATCCACACCAACTGCATAAATACTGCTGGAACAAACACATTCTGGCTATCTCCCAGTTCAAGAGATTCAAAGCTTGAGAGAAGATGAGGGCAGCGTACAGGCAGAGCTGTTCACTAAAGGAGCCATGAAGCACCTCCTTTGGATTGAAAAAAGATATAAAAAGACCTAGAAGACTGTTCTTTACATTAATTTGAGAAGAGAAAGACATCATTTAGACAGGAACACTAATGAGGTAAGGGGACACTAGGCATAATAAATATATTTTTTATTTTCTGTTGCATTCCTTTAATTTCAGAAGCTGAGCTGAAGAAAGAAATTTAAGTTGTTCTGTTTTCAGAGCTCTATTTGAGATGCAACAAATTGATCTGAGGACTTACAAGCTGGATTATGCAATACTTCATGCCAGTTGGGTGACACAGGTCCCATGCAACCAAAGTAAGTTCTTTTTATTATTAGAAATATTTTTTAGAAGTTTAGCAAGTTAGTTGGCTCAGCTGAGCCCAAGAAACTATAACATGGACTGTTGCTCATCCAAATTGTACAAGATACAGTAAAGCAATTCTCCTGGCAGTATTTCCACTGCCTTTAAAATGTATTTACCAATTTCCAGATTAGTTTTGCAATTTTAACAGGATCTTTATGCTTACGAGCTTCTCACTATGTCTTCTCAAACTGATGCAGAGCTAATAAATACAATTTTTTAAAGTTACGTGCACAGAAAGAAATCAATCTGGAGAAAGAAGTACTTTCTAGCAAACCACTTCTATCTAGAACAACAAGAGCCATTTTTCTACACCATCCTCTTTTTTTCATAGTTGTACCTATGAAGCACAACAAAATCATTACATCCATTCTATACAAATGGCAAAGAACTACCAATTTCAACACACCCACATCAGGATATGCAAAAATTAAGTCTGTGAAAGCAATTATCTGTAAATGCAGAATCAAGCTCCAGGCATTCTAGAATTTGGCTTTCTACAACTGTGTGTTACTGCAGCAAAAATATCACATATTTTACAATAATTTATGAAAGTATATCCAGTTCTGTAGGTATTGACAAGTGCAGGAGTAACAAACCGAGTTGCTGAGTGCCTCTAGTTCCTTATGTCTGTGCTACAGGAAGAGAGGCACCTGCAGACCAAGTTCTCAATGACCCAGTAGCGAGCCATAATCCATCCATACAGCTATGGGAAAGCACTGGCAGACTTTGTGGTAACACTCACTACCACAGGACTTCCGACAGTTATTAAGTGGTACATGACTAATAAGGATACACTGTAGCAGATCACTCTCATTTCAAACTCAATTTTTCATGAAGCAGAGGCAAACAAATTTTGGTTGGTAGTGATAGGAAAAAATCTTAAAAGTAATTAGAATTAAGAATTTTAGACAGCCTTCTTTAAATACTCACTGCATGTTCCAGCACGGCATGAGCTATTTCATGTCCCAGAATGAAAGACAGCTGATGAATATCAGAAACTGCATTTAGCAATCCAGTGAAAACAAACACCTGACCATTCTGTAAACAAAAAGATAGTGAAAATTAAGTACAAGACACACAAATAAAAATGCTGTTTCAACATTACTGATTTTTTGTATTGGGTTCAACTTACTGGAAGCACAAAAGCATTTACACCTGGTTCATCTACCACATGGATAACCCACTTGAGCGCCAAGACCTGTGGGATGTCCCTGTTGCTTTCAGATAAATGACCAACAACTCTCTCCACAACCTGGTAGCGTGCATCTGTCTCAGGTAACATTTTACTTTTGAATTCCTCCATCCACTGGGGGGAAAAAAAAAATAAATAAAATTCATTGATTGCCATGCAGAACAAACACCGGGCAAACAACTAATTGGTAAACTAACTTAGTGGCTACAAGCAACTTCATTAAATCCAAGTTTTGATACGTTTTTCTTTCATACAGCCAAAGCCATTATTAGAGTTCAGACTTTCAGACCCACAAGTTAAGGATTAATAAACTCCAAGGGAAGTAAACCAAACAGATCTAAAATAAGATGGTATAAACTTGGTCCTACAGCCTCCTGTACCTGGCATTTTTCTAATACACAGTTAGCTTGGCATCACAATTTGGCAAATGTTTCTATACCTTCACGAATTTCTATCTGAATTTATAAATTTCCTGTATCCGTATATTTCTGTTGTAATTTGTAAGGCAGACAAATTTACACAAAAAATGTAATTTGAATCTATCTTTGTACTTCTTCTATTCTTATCTCTTATTCTCTGTCAGACAGGAGTAGAATCACATTTGTATATGGATTATCAAATTTCACTGGCTTTACAACAGAAAGTCACAGAACTCAGTTACAGAAATTAAAGCAATGGACAGTTTAAAATAAAGCAATTAAAGAAAAATTACCTGTTCCAATGAAAAAAAGAAGTAGAATTGAATGCAGGTGGAGACTATTACCTTACAAAATGACAGCTGAGAGAACCTTAAACAAGTGCCAAAGAACGCTCAAACCAGCACACAAAAAGAGACAGCATATACCCATTGGCTACGCTTTTGTTGCTTCTGCCAGATCTATGTATTTCTTGTTTTATTACAACACCACAGTTAGAAATGTTTGCTACATGCAGATAAGGTGCTCTTTAACCATCACGTGCCCCTGACCAGTTCACTGATGGAAAGGGAACTCTTCAAAAGATGGGAACAAGAGGAGGGAGGTAACTGATGGGGGTGTTCTGCAGGGTTCTGGGCATGAAGTTCAAAACTTATCAAGCACACCACAAGGTTTGTTTGCTCACCTCGTTGCTAAAAAAAATAAAAAATACATGAACAGTCATAAGCATTTTGAATTTTTTTTTTAAATCTTACCATATCATATTCCATCTGTGACAGTTCCCGAAAGTGCTCTTTTCCAAACACCAACAGTCGAGCGCGTCCAGTGATGGGTGTCTCCTCCAAGTGAGTAAAATAAAACACGACAAACAAAACTCCTAAGCTACTGACACCCAGGAGTATCTTCCATTTATTTTTTCTTACACTTTCTTTAAAAAGTTCCCGTTTATTAGGAGGAAGTGCCTTCCACCAATTTCTTATGCTCCTGCAATGTACAAATAGTGGTAGTTTAGCACACAGAGAAAAAGCAATCTGTTAGTCTCTGCCCCTGCTGTATTCTCTAGTACAGTCTCACCTCATGTAAGAGCTTATGGCAAGTTATACTGTAGTTGGCTTCTACTCCACTCCATTTCTTCCTTCCCATAGGATCATAGAATCATAGAAT